TTGGACTCAGATACATGTGTTTAGCATACACAAATTAGATACCAATACAATTTTGTTTACCAAAACCCTCTTCGATTGGGTATTCCACAGTGAGTGAGTGAGTGAGTGAGTGAGTGAGTGAGTGAGTGAGTGAGAGTATTTGGGCATCCACCGCATTCACGGCATGAGTATTCTCAAATATTAGCATCGAGAATCCGATCTCGCCTGATTTACTCCTCGGGAGCGACCCGATCTTCCTCCACTCCCCAATCCTCCTCGCTACCCGCTACCCGCACGTGCCATGTTCTCTTCCCGTTTGTGGTCCGACAGTTGTCATGATAAATGTGGTTCACTGGCGCACTGTCAATTTTGAGAGTTCCATAAATGTCACCAAGGTTGTGATGTGCATAATGATGGGAAATGTTTTGGTGTATCGGAGAGTGGTGATTGGGAACGGGGGGTGGGGGTAGGGGGTAGGAGTGGAAGTTAGGTACCATGTATGACGGAGACGAAGGCAACCTGAACAAGGAAGATGGTGAAATAGAATAAAACGAATTGCCCAGTTCCCGTCCACCAGGGGAGCCTCGCGGTTGTTGCTGTTTTATTGTTTTACTTACGCTTTCAACGCGCACTTGTTATGGGGACCGAAGTGGACTGGACTGGTGTGTTTTGGGGTAAACGACCGAAACAGTCAAACACAGCCCACTTATTGTCACAAAAATGCCATTCGTAGCGGTTCAGTTTCGTTTAAAAGAAAATCAAACAAACAAACAAAAAATAAACGTGGACTGTGGTCCCGACACATTGTCATTGCGTTGACAAATGGACCATTCGGTTCAAGTACATACTCCCCACTGTGTACAGGCTCGGGCGCGTGCGAGTTTGTGGTTTGATCGGTGGCAGGTAATTTCCTCGTCAGATAGGGAGCATGGACGACTGGCAGGCTCAGGGGTTGACGACAGTAGTAGACCCTACATAATCAGATCAGTGAATGACAAGAAGAGCCGCTGAAACCACCAATTTTCTTCCACAATCAGACATTTGGTGCCCGGGGACCGTACAATTGACTACCGTACTGTCGTCGGAACTGAAACTGAAAACCAAATGGATGCTCCCCACACACTCTGAGATCCTTGACAGAGAGAGAGAGAGAGAGATAGAACAAGTGCAAGCAACATGTTGGTGGTGATCCAAACTATACGTTCGAGAAACCGGTGAAAACCCAAGATCCGTCTGTATGGGGTCACATTGATTCAAAGAAAAAAAACGGTCAAAATATTTGTTCCTGACATGCAGTGCAGATAAAGCTTACGTCTATCTGTCAACCCTAACAACCAGGTTTCGTTTAAAACAATGGAAACTGAAACCTGAAATTTTCGTCTGACTGAGGGAAACAACACGAAATTGGGCAAACTTTTAAGGAACCCTATTTTGATTAGTCTGTATGCGTGCTATTACAATCGAGTTCTTTTGCTGAAATTATTCTTCAAATACGCCAGAATCGAAACATACCTTTACCGCCTTCCACTGAGCTTTGGTGAATCACTGAATTTGCTTTGAAACAAGTTGCATAAATCGCACAATCCAAGGATAATCACTGATTATCATCTGTTCCAACCTGCTGCATGCACGGAACACACACATACAACAATAAACTGGACTTTTATGCTTACACCTGAAAACTAGACTACGGTTTATCCATCCGACGTGAGTGTGATATGGTACACTAAGGATTACAGACCATTCAGTAACGCATTAAAATGCAATTACAGAAAAGAAAATGAAATAACTAGGTGCTATTTTCGGGGGAAAGTGATGTAAATTGCACTTGAAAACCACACTGCATTATCAATCAACGCAATAAGTCGGAGAATCAATTATACGAAGCCTATGGGGGAAACAAAACATTGTAAGCACTTCAACCGGTCCCCGCTTTGTTCTCATGTCAAGGTCTCCGTCCAGCGAAAACACCGTGTGACACAATCACCCGGAGAACAGTGGTAATCCGGGGACTGGGCTGATACAATAAAAAGAGCAAACTGGTTTTCCTGAAGTTTGGATCCTAAAATTGACATGTCCACATAACTCTCTCCTTGAGTTTGTCGGACGACATTACGATTCACGAAAGACTGCCAAATGTTAGGGCAGGCAGTAACTGAATGTATTCTTACTTGTCAGGATTGCGATCCATGTTATACGGAATATATATAATAAATCAGGCCAGTAGAAAAACGTGCTCATAGCGTATTGACCCATGGTTGATACGCTCAAATCCGGCGATCATCGCTCAATCAGCAACTGACCAATATATCGTTGGGCTGGTTTTTCCCTACAACTCGCGTGTGTGTATAAATTAATGAATTAGTAACTAAATAAAAATAATTTTGTATTAATGCAGAATGATTTCTGATATAGTTTTGTACATGAGGTAGACAGCATCAGGAAGCAGGAGTGTGATTATCGCTCCTGCAGCCAAAGTAAACGGGATGCGTAGGCTTGACATTTCTACAGGATATGAAACATGAAAAGCGACCACTTCTGGTAACTTGCATACGTTGTTTATACGATTGGACAAGCTGGTTTGCTTGGTCTGTCTCCACATCCCTTCAATTATCGTGAATGAATATATATATATGTATGCAAACTTCTAGTACATGATTCAGTAGGGGAAACAGATCGTAATCATGCTTACCATTGTCTGAGTGAATCACCTCGAGTAGGATCGAACAACAACTACTGCAGTACGGTGTACCACAAATGATGCGTACTGAATTATGCTTGAGTTTCGAAAATATTTGGTCATTCTTTCCGTTATCGCTAGATCATTGGTCAAACACGTGTGAACAATTTTTACACCGGAACAGCTATTTCTGACCAAAACTGAGAGTGTCGAAATATTCATGCTGTTTTGAACGAATGGAACTGGACAAAACTATTTATTGGGAGGGAATTGCAATCATGTATGTGATGTCTTTTTACTTCCTTTTTTGTTTCCTGAATATACAAATGTACAGTCAACATTCAGGAAGGAGGGGGGACGGGCGTGACTATACACAAAGGCTACCCGGGGAAATACAGAAATAGGTAAGACAGGCGGTGGTGGAGCGGTTCGAACCCGGGACTCGGAAGTCACAAGTTGGCGACCTAACTAACCACCTGCCCAATACCACCCATAATCAGACCGGCTGGAAGGTAATGAGTTGAATCAATTTCCTCCACATTTGTGTAGCTTCTCTCACTGTTGATGACAAAATGACCGCGCACCCCAGTCACCGAGTGTCCAACGTTTCACATTCCAAACAGGGAATCCCCTACCTGGAAGCTTCTGCCGGTCATGTCTCAATCTAGTGTTCGACCAGCAAACAAAATTGAGCAATCTGACGGCAGTCTAACACAATCACATAGAGAGGAAGAAAAGATGTACGGAAATGAATCCTACCCGATGGTTAAGCAAATTACCAATAAAGAATATTACAACTAGCCAACTGATTGGGTGAATCGTTGATTAGCTGTCTGAATAAATAGATGAATGACTGCATTTATATGTATGTTTACGTTGAAAAAGAGCTCATAGTCTGCCCGTTTCGAGTGCACTTTTTGTGGCTACGGATCAGAGTAGGAGAGAGTTGGAGACATCAAGATATCCAGAACGAGGGAATCGGGGCCAGTGAACGATGAAGGATACCAAAGCAGAAGAGCACGGACCCAGTGTGTGAGAAGAACACGATTTACAACACAAATCAGTCGATTTGTCTTGCTTAGCACTGGTGATCATCCAGTTATTGTTGTTGTTGCTGCTGCTGCTGCATCCTAGGCACTTTGATTTGGACGGATAGGATGGATGACCTCGAGACGGAGTTAGAACCTGAGGACAACCACCACAAACACAACCACCACCACCACCACCACCACCACCACAACAACAACAACAACAACAAAACTATAGACTTCTGGTACACAGTCAGGACAAATATGCTTTTTGTATTAGAAGAAAAAAAGAAGAAAAAGATATACATGCACACACGTTTCTAATCTTCAAAATGTGATCGAGGGTGAATGAACGATTTCTCGCGTATCGGCTACAATTTGTCAAACACTCCACATAGGCGACTGGTTGTCTGAAGTTCTTAATCTACAGAATCCTAGATGATGAAGATTAGGTACTTATACTATCCGGCTACATCCAAAGAATAACATTTTTAAATAATAAAAGTAGTGTGTTGTTGTTGTTGTTTCTGTTCGATTTTTATTACCTATGGCAAAATAAAAACTGTATTTTCGACGAGAATCTATCGGGAACTGAATATTTCCAACTCAACTGATTCCCTGCTCGAATAGAAACGTTCTCCCCTATGTGTATGGCCAATAAAACATATGTTGGAGAAATACTATAATGCTATTTACGTGCGAGGTTTTCAGCAATCCCAGTTGGCAAAAATTCGGGATGGGAGAAACTTTGTGGAACTTTGGATGCTCAATTGTTCCGGTATTTGTTTCTACAATAAATAAACCCGTGGGTGTAGCTGTGGAATATTTTCAAGAAAAAAGCGTTTTCGTATCTGGGATAGTTGAAATGTAGTAATGTGCTGATAATGATGCCAACGATACTACTACTATTATTATTATTAATAGATATAATAATAATATTATTATTGGTTTCACAATCAAAATGCACTAACCATGGGTAGCAAAACTCCGTATTTGCATTTCAGTAAATAATTCACTCCATTTGCTGAAATGAAACCGGTATATGTTGCTTGGAACTAGCTGAGGCATCACAAAATGAAATGTTTTTATTTAGATGGAGCTTATTCAGATGAAAAGCCTGCTGAACATTATGCTTGTCTCACGTAAGCTGTTTCTCTTTTATTTATCTGGATTTTTACGGGCACTGGATGAGGTTTCAGTTCTGGGTTTCATTCTACAGACCTTCATTTATTCTCAGTAAATTTGATATATACAGCACTCTACCCAGGCCATTTTTCAATCTATTTTCATCTCGTTTCTGTCCCACATCGTAGATGAAAATAAATGCAAAGAATCGGGATTCGATTTGCAAAGTTTCTCCCGGATTCTGGCGTTGAATAATCTGATCCGTTCCTTGTCTAGCTCCGGAACTAGTCCCATGCCCAATGAGGAATTCCTGCGTACTTTACTTTTGGTCGAAATGTACAAATATCAGGCCGAAATGCTACAAAAGTCGAACTCGACAAACGAGCTGGATCATATGGATACGAGTATCAGATCACCCTACCAATTCCCGAATATCTCCGCAACAAACAATATCCCTGTTACAAACACGCCTACAAATCCCATCTTCCCTCCATTCGGGTTGACCAATTTTACGGATTGGACATCGGCAGACTTCCAACAGCGCAACAATAACCATCCTTCTCATCAGCAACATCCGCAACTCCACGACCCCGAACCACATCAGTCCAGATCGAATTTTTCAAATAGTCCCAAAGACAGTAGTGCTCCAGGCATCCCCTTTACAGGCAGCCCCGTCCACAATCCAACTAGTCCAACCAACTCGTTAATCAATCCACTTGAACAGTTGAACATGGCCTTTTTGTCCGCCGCTGCTGTTGCCATGGCTTCGGCGGTCACAGCCAGCAGTGCTGCATCCTCTTCCATCTCCCCGACCGGTACATCTCCGATGGACGATGTGCACGACTCCGAATTCCCCACTGCTCAGACGATTCCGGTCAACTTGACATTGCCCCATGCACCCAAATTAGAGAAGTCACTATCAGTGGACAACAGTCCGATGACACGCCACCAGCTAGATCTGGATCTTCGAATTCCTCCTCCCACTTCGCATTCACTTTCACTATCAAAACGGTTCAGCTCATTCAGCTCGTCCTCGAACAGCTCGAGTCGATTTGGACCGCGAAGGATCAAACGTTCTACCAGCCTAAGTCCGTCATCCGAAAGTTTTCATGCAAAACGAATAATGCTTGAAAATGGAAAATTCACAGGTACGTCTGGCTTCTGGTTTGTTTTTACGGTGCCTTTTGATAATTATGGAATGTGCCCATCATGTAGATCAAAACACGTACTTTTTGTGTTTAACGATTCGATTGCTTTAGTCTTAACCTTGTTAAATCGTATTTCCTGAACAACAAATGAGTAGGGTCGAATGAAGTCTTAAATGACTAAAGTCGAAGAAGAGATGGTGGTTTATGCACGACCTGGAGAGTAAAAAGTATTCCCTATGGGTGCTTTGATTCTACTGCTTAACCAAAATCAATAATACGATGTAATCATTGCATAATTGATTGAATTTCGTGTTTGTTCGTTTGGAGGAGTTGAAGGTTTTGCCGAAAAATAGGTTGAACTCCATGAGACGAATAAAGGTCACCTGTGCAAAAAACCTGTGCAAAGCCTGTCCAAAACTCTTTTTCTCCCAAGGGATATAACGAGTAAGTACTGTGCACGCGCGCAAGCGGGCGGGCCCTTATCGAGCATCTCATACAAACTAAAAGCGAAACATCTTAATCTGATATAGCTCCAATTCCGTTCCATGCAAGCCAAAGTGAATTATATTCTTTGATGCGTTGTGAATAATGTCATGTTATTTGACCTTGGTAAGTGGTTCCACAAAAAGATAATTCCAGATGAGGTCCACAGAGAGACTGCTCATCTTTGTTTCATCGTCGGATATTTAGTCACGTGGAGAACACAAATCCTTGCCTAGTGATATTGAAGTTGGATTCCATTTCGACAGATAGGACTCTTCTAATCATTCTAGATCCGATATTTTATTTGAAAAACCTAAACGAACAACACTTTCTCCCCTTTTGAAACATTTTCACAGTCCGTAAACTTCTCGACCCAACTTCAACAGTATTGATTGTTCTTCTTAAAACTCTTCTAAAAATATTCACCTTGCTCGATAGAGGATATAGTGAACCAGGATATGTTTCTTAAAGAGTGACACGAAACTGTGGGAATTTGTGAACTGTTCACTGCACATTACTGTATGGTACATTTTTATTTCTCAATTATATGCACACGGAATTCCTCTTTCCCAATTTGCACAGATCCTTTTCGGTGTGGTCTGGACTCCGTCAATCGAAATCAGAATGAATCACCGACAGACCGAACCGGTGAAACACCAAACCAGCCAATCTCATCTGAGCTTTCCGACGACTTACGACCGCGTTGGAAACCGACCCTCGGACATCGGCCTTCCTATCGTCTGTCCCAGTTTTTACGGCATCTGCTAAACAGTCCTGAGTGTAATCCGGACCTGATTTGTTGGGTTGACCGTTCGCGGAATACGTTCAAACTGGTCAACAGTGCTGCCGTGGCACGTCTATGGGGTGCACACAAACAGAAGCCCAACATGAATTATGAAACAATGGGTCGAGCAATGAGGTAAGCTAAACGATTTCTTTTTCTTCGGAAATCACTTTTACTACTCATTAGTAGGCAAAGTTAAATCTTGAGGATTTTATTATTCTGAACTGGGGTAAACTATATGGTGGTGTTGAAAATGACACAGTCTTCCATAGTATCAACGGGGATTAGAGCAGACAAATGAAAATTATCATCATACATTTTAGAAAAACCCTTGTGGATGAGGAATTCAAATTCACCTGTTGAGATTTTTCTCCTGATAGACAGTTTTGATCAAATGATTGGAGTGCATTCAAGGGCTTGGAGAGTTACGACTGTTGTCGTAATTCACTTCATTTGGTTTTGAACGTAATCTAACCGCTGGAATTTGGCACATGGATTTAATTCAACAAGTTTAAAACTCACAATAATAGTCTGTGTATCATCTGCAGGAGTCTTTTTAATACCTAACTAGTATTTGCAACCGAAGAGCGGACGAATGAGAAGTAACTAACTTCACTCACAGGTAGCCTTATATGATTTCAATTAACCAAATTCAATGTGCAGAGGTAAATTGTATCAAGTTATTTAGCTACTGGTTGGCCACGTGCAAAAGAATGGCTTTGTAATTTGCAAATGGTGTGTCTTATCACACCCCGTCCGGAGTTTGCGCAAAAATAATTTAGCGAATCACAGCATGCGTCACATTGTTTAACCCGTAACTAGACTCACCAAGATTTACTTCTCTCGTTCACTTTTTACCCTCTCAAAAACAGATATTATTATGCCCAGAATATTTTGCGCAAAGTCAAAGGACAACGCCTGGTTTATCAGTTTTTGCAAGACGTTGATACTCCATCTAACGGCGACAAACGACATTTGTCTGGGGAAAGATTACCGTCCAGCAAAGCAACTGACCCAGATCATCAATCTGAAAGCTGATCTCATCCACATGAGAGAGAATTTAAACTCTTGCATCCATACTCAATCGGATCTCTT